GCGGCTCTGTTTGTACCCCGTACAGACACAGCCGTCTCTATTATAGAATGGTGCTACCTTTCATCCACCCCTCCTCGAAATATTTATCCGTATTTAGATGCCCTATCTGATCTTGTTCGTAAAGCCCGCCACCGTGCAGTGCAACTCACTGGCACTGATTTAGTTGCCATTGTGCTCCCCTTGTCCCGTACTGAATTTGACTCTTTGTGCCACACCTCCTTGGCCTGGCAGGTTGCTCTTTGTGATTATGTGGGAGAGATTTCTTACAATCCTCCAAAAGATCCTCAGTTGGTCATTACCCAAAAGGTGCTCCTAGTTGTTCATCGTCTTAGCCGCTCTCAACCCATTGTTTCCGCTGTCACTCTTTTTACTGATGGCTCTCCCCACCGAGGTGTAGTCACTTATCAGTTGGGTGACCCCCCTCGTTGGCATTCTCGTTTTACCCTGCCTCAGCGTTCTGCACAGCGTTCAGAATTAGCTGCTGTTATTTTGGCCTTTCAACTTTTTGCTGATTGTCCCTTTAATTTAATTGTGGATACCCATTATGTTTATCAGGTAATTGATCATTTACCCCTTGCCCTCATTACCCCTCAGGTTGATGCAGACCTCCTTCGCCTGTTTTTGTCTTTGCAGCACCTTCTTGCCACTCGTCATTTCCCTTACTTTGTTGCTCATATTCGCAGTCATACCCCTCTGCCTGGGCCACTCACTGAGGGCAATGCATGCGCCGATCGCGCGTTGCGTGGTCATGTAAATTCCCTTTTTTCTGACCCCATTGAAAGCCATGCCTTTTTTCATCAGTCTGCCTCTGTTTTGGCCTGGCAGTTTCACATTCCTGCTGATCATGCACGTTCCATTGTTCGTTCCTGCCCCCACTGTGCTGCTGCTGCTCCTCCTTTTTCTTATGCCGTTAACCCCCGAGGTACCGCAGCGAATCAGCTGTGGCAAATGGATGTTACTCATGTGCCACAATTCCGCCCCTATTCGTTTTTACATGTTTCCGTTGATACTTATTCAGGCTTTCTTTGGGCAACCCCACAACGTGGGGAAGCCACTAACAAAGTTGTTCACCATTTGCTGGCCTGCTTTTCTGTTATGGGTCGCCCCTGCCAAATTAAAACAGATAATGCCCCAGCCTACTGCTCTGCAGCCCTCTCCACCTTTTGTGCCCGCTGGGACGTCCGTCTTAAACACGGAATCCCTTATAATTCCACGGGCCAAGCCATTGTTGAACGTGCCAATCGCACACTCAAAACCTTGCTAGATAAACAATTAAAACAAGGGGAGCTGCGTCTCCGAACCTTAGGAGACATTCAACAACAAATGCACATCCTCTTGTTTACTTTAAATAATTTAACACTGAATGCAGATCAGCAGACCCCTGCGGATCAGCATTTTCACAAATCTGAGGTACTGGAAAGACCGCGTGTCTTTTACCATCAGCTGCCCGATCCACAGTGGCTGGGCCCAGTACCTCTAATCATTTGGGGTTGGGGATATGCTGCTGTGTCTCTCCCTGCAGGACCGTTGTGGGTTCCAGCTCGGTGTTTGCGACCGGCATTTAAACAACATGGCGTGGCACCAGGGACTGTCGAATCCCATACCAGAGTTTCAGCTGACTTTGGAGGAGACCGCATTGCCCCCTGAGTCGACAACGACGGGACGGAAACGGAGGAGGTGTAGTGTCCCAAACCGGCCCGTGACATGGGGAGCAGTAAAAGCATTGGTCGCCGCGGCCCAACGAAGGCTGGCAGCAGATCAACAGCCAGAGACTCCTGAGACTTTGTTTGTGGCGATTCTCGCCCAAATCACTGCTAATTCTGTGATGATTGTATGCCTTTTGTGCCTGCTATTTCCTGTAGGGGTTGGCTCGGAACCGCTTCCCCCGTTACGAGCCCGAATGACATATAACATATGGGAAAGATTGGCTTCAATAGCAAATTTTACCCACTTTTGTCTATCTAATTTTGTAGCAGCTGGAGATTTGTTAGGTACATGCCTTATTCCAGTATGTCATCACCCTGAGGAGATGGAGAATAAGACACTGTTCTCTGCTTATGCGAATCTTTCCTCCCAGTACTCTAGCATGGCTAATTGGGGCCCGGCCAACTATACTCTGCCTCGCACGGCTATATCCCTCCACACACTGTACCCGGCCGGGGCTCACAATGTCACCTGTGCGCGTGTAGTTAACTGCACTAGTACAAAGGTGCCCTTGGGCTGTCGAAAAATTTCTCAACCCCTTTTAAATTGTTCCCATGCTGTTAATGTTTCATATAATTATGGCCATATCATCCTACCATCAGGATGGTTTTTTACTTGTGGTTCATGCACCTTTAATTATATTCCTGCAAATTTAAGTGATGGCACCCTTTGCTGTCTTAGTAGAATGACACTTATATTGCCTTTTGCTGGTCAAAACCGTAGTAAAAGAAGTGTACCCCTTTCAGATGATTGTATTGCAGATGTTGAGCTTTTTAGTCGTGCTGAGTATACTGCTTTAGCGGCCTCTATTGTTGGGGTCCCCGCGCTTGCTATGTATTCAGCCAGAACTTTAAATAACCTGGCATGCTTTGCAGCAAAGGCAATTAATACAACATCCCAGGCTATTGCCTTACTTAACACAGAACAACACGAATTAAGGGACGCAATTTTGGATAACAGAGCAGCCATTGATTTTCTGCTCCTGAAACACCATCTAGGCTGCTCCACATTTCAGCACATGTGTTGCTTTAATTTAACTGATAATAGTCGCTCCATAGAAACTAGACTGGCTGAATTGGCCAGTCTTACAACACACACATGCCAAGATCTGGGGTTTGAGGGTTTTTGGAATTGGCTTACAGGTTGGCTGCCCTCTCTAGAATGGCTGCGACAGCTTTTTGGTTATTCTGTGTTTGTAATCATTGGGCTTATTTTTTGCTGCTGCTGTGTACAATGTATTCCTTCCTTGTTAAGACTTTGTAAAATTTTGCCCTGGAAAGCTCCCCAGGTTATGTCCTTGTCTTTCTGGGAGTTAAATAGCATGACAAAACAAATTGACGGCTACCATGAGATGGCCAAATATCATTAAATAAAAAACAGGGGGATGAAGGGTTCATGTTTAGCTATTCCACCTGGAAGCAGGCAGGGTACACCCTGACTGTTTTGTAGAAGCAATGCACACATTGCTCTATCCAAGGACAAGGGCTAGATATGAACCATGAGAACTTGATTGTTGGGACAGCAACTGTGGGAAGCTTTCTTAGCCTGGGCTCAAGGCCTGAGAACCAGGATTGTAGTAGATAAAGGATGGTAAATAAGTATATTAATCAACGTCATACATTCCTTTGTGTATCTTTTTGCAGTAGCAGTGTGTAATGCTTAGGGGGGAGAAATATAATAAAAGGAGAAGGTGGAAGGCAGGGGGGCAGAACAGCCCATCTCAGCTGACCAGCCTGCTTGCTTGCATAAAGCTGTGTTCTGTCTCATCATTGAACCGCCACACATGCTATATCTGTTTTTGTGTTCCATGGAAATCCTGTCATCATTAAACTGGTGGATGCAATCTACCAATGCAGATGGAAACTATTCTCTTTTTGGTCAGAGTTACCATGGCTCACCTCTGCAGAAGACTGTTCTCCATATATTTGTATTTGCTCTCACTAAAGCGGTCATGGTTGTCCCTTAGCTCAATGAGAGTCTATCTGGCTGCAATCTCAGCAAATAATCTTCCAAAACAGACATTGGTATTCTCACCCCACTGCAGTGGAATTTTCTGAAAGGACTGACCTCTGCTTTTCTCCATGTCAGAACTCCCTCCTTCCCTGGAAGAGTGACTAGATGATTTAATAGGTCCCTCCCTTTGAGCCCATGGATGCCTGCTCCTTCCATCACCTCTGTGAAGAGAGCCTTTGTGGTGGTCATAAAGTTGGCGGAGAGATTCAAGCCCTTATGGCACAACTTTCTTATATGAACTTTCAGCGTCAACAGTAGACCTTACCTGCAGTTCTTGCTTAAGGTAGTGTCAGATTTTCACATAAATCAGTCTCCATCTGCTGGTCTTTCCCCAAAGCAAAAACTCATATATTGGACATCAATAGAGCATTATCCCCTTATCTAGACAAGACTAAATCAACCAGAGCATCAGACTTGTGGCATTTGTGAATGGATGAGAGGACAACAGTTTCTATGAGGGGTATTTGAATGGTTTTCAGACTTTCAATATAAAACTACTACATGCTAGCAAAGGGAGATCCCCCAGGACACATCAGGTCCCATTTGATTTGAGCCCCTGCAACCTCCACCACCTCATTGAGCATCATCCCATTGACTGAGACGTGCCTGGTGACGTGCTTGTACTCCGTTCATACTTTTACTATGCATCTGTAACCTTTGTGCAGGCCTCTAAATCAAATGTGAACTTTGCTAGCATGCAATACGTCAGTATTTACATAGGAGTCCTATTACCCACATCTGAGCATGGGATGCTTGTCACCAAGAGTGGAATTTGTGGAAATCACTTGAAGAACCTTGGTGCTCTAAGGTAAGTAATTGTTCTTTCAAGATGTGTAGTCCACACAGACTCCTTGACTTCCCCTCTGTCCCACTAATTTGAGTCTTTATTGGCAAAAGAACTGAGAAGTGGTTGAGGCTGCCCCCACCCCTTATGCCCTGGGCGACAATGGTTGAGAGGGTTCTCAGGGTGCAGCCATGGCCCTAATGGACACTGCTATCCAAAAGAATCTCATCTTCTGCACAAGGAATGCATGTGCCCCAAGAAGGCAATCTGCATGGACAACACATCCCAAAGAACCACAGTTACTCTAAGTTAAGTAACCGTTCTTTCTGGTGAGCAGTGGACACAACTCTAACTAAAGAGAGAGGTAATGATCTAAAAATCTTTATAACCTTGAGAGAGAGAAACATCACACTGATTCTTGAAGAGGAACAAGAGTAGTAAATACTAGCTATTTTATTGCAGGAGTATGTCGGAAACCAAATCAGATGGACTCTCAAACCTAAATGCATAAACAATTTATTTAAAACAAATCTTTGTTTTAACATTCCTTTATTTTTAGAATCTTCCGGGAAAAGACCCTTGCTTGACAGTTTCTCAAGTGGTATCAAATGTCCTTGACAGAAGAAAAAATTGTCTACTTTAGGTGGTAGCACTCAGGCTTGGTAGTGACTATCCAAACCTGTTTCTTAAGAGAAACTCAGGAGAAGAAAAGGATAAGTTCCAGTTTTTTTTCCTCCCCAACAGTTCAGTAACTAGAATATATACGCACAGCAGATGACCCAATTTTCAATGGAAGTCAGGCACCCATGTTCCTCCCTTGGAAACTTTTGAAAATCTCACTGGTGGACACTGGCCCTGCAGAATTAAATTTGTGATTAGCTTTCCATGTGTAGTATGTAGTTGTGATGGTGGATTTTTGTTTTTTTGCAATGGTAGTTGGAGGGGTGGAGAGACTACTGTCCTCTTACTGCTTTACTTTAAAATTGCAAATTTAGTTTTTTCGGTTGTATCAATGACATCAAAAGACTGACATTTTTTAGAAAGTTCAGACACAATATCCTATAACATTTATAGAAAAAAATCACTGTAGCAAGATTCATGCTAAAAACTGTAAAAGGGCCAGTTAAATTCCAATGCAGTTCACCCACTTCATTGTAACTGTGATCCATTCACAAAGCAGAATTATTTGAATGTCATGTATGTGCTAGTTTCAGTCTTCCACCATTAGTGATGCAAACCTATTGTTAACATCACACAAAGGCTGAGCTTCCAATGTAGCATGCTGTCTGGTAGTCTCTGCCTGACTAGTGGCTTGCTTGTTCTTTACCTTGCAGAATTGGGTGGTCTTGGTTGTCTCCTGGAAGAAGTCTGGAGGTACAGTTGACTTTACTGCATGGAGCAGATCACAATAAAGCTGGCTCATCTTTGGAGATGAGAGAAGCTGATTCTCTGCTGCATGTACTGATTTAAGCTCTTTGCATAGTCTATGCACAAAGGTCCCACAATAAAGCCTGCCGAAGGAAAGATTAAATTTAGAATTATATCTAACTCTAGCTACCAAAACTATACTGTTTAGTGGAAAAAACAATACAAACTAGTGTCTTATTTGTGGTTTTATGCTACTCAGTTACACACCTCTAATGAACAATCATTGAATATGAACTCTTTAAATAAAAGCCTTTTAAAGAAACAATCCCAAACTCATTTTCATGATGAGTTCAAATCTAGCTTGTCTGCAGGTACATATTTACATTATTACTATATTTCTTAACTTTATTGGTTTTTAGAACCAGCAGGCAAAATAAAGCCAAAGAAATTTCAGGTGACAACTCCATTTAAAACTGTTCTAGGTTTAATCAGAAGAAAAATCAAATTACTTTAGTTGCTGGGAATTAGCTGACATACATAACTTGTATCTTCAATGCCTGCTTTTTCATTTGAGCACTCTATAGGAGTGAAGTATTATTGAGTTAAGAGCCCTAGACATGAATATAGGGGAAAGAAGAACTTTACACATCTATGCAAGTAACAAGAAGTGCAGAACTCACTTGCCCAAGGAAGAGAAACTGCTTTTTAACAGCACCTTGAATATTTGAGAGCACTGAATTTGAGTAAAGTGCATTTTTAACCCTCCATAAGACTTGCATCTAATGAAAGATGTTTAAAATCAGATTTAACATTGAAAATACAGATCCTAGATAGAAATCATTTCTGTGAATCTTCTGTAGTAACAGGTATAAAGAATTCTGCTCAAGTGAAAATGCTTAGGATCATTCATTATATGCCTGTGATTTCCAGACTTTTACTCTGAATTTTCTTCATGTTTTCAATTTATTGTACCCTTTTCCCTTTCTTGATGCACTTCTACATTATGTAATCTCCTAGATGTTGGTCTCAGGTGGTGATGCATACATGTTTACATACTTTAGCTATGATCTTACAGTTTGACTCATGAGTCATTTTCATTGGCCTCAGAAAGGGTATGCAAGATCAAGCCCAAACTTTCTAATTTTAACACTACTTTAATTCAGGCACAGTATGTACTAAAGAATTAAGAGTAAAATTTTAATATTTTCGTTCAAAAAATGTATATTGGAATTTTATATGTAGTAATTACCAAAAACATGATTTTGCTGAAACATTAGAAGCTGTTACCATTTATTAAGTGCCAGAGTACTAGTGCCATACAACAGAATATGAACTGTACCAAATTTAAAAGGTCCCTTACCCAAGGAGCTTACATTCCAGAGGCACAGCAGGTATAAGACAAGGCAAAACACAATATAAGGGTGCTTTATATTTGGAGCACCTTGTGAAGAAGGCAGGTCTCACAGGTTCTTACCGAGTTAAGTCTGGTTCACTGAGAGGAGTAGAGAGTAGCTGGTTGAGATGCAATCCCATCTGGAGGCAGCACTGCCACTGGCAGAAAGTGTGTGCTGTGTCTAAATCCAGTAATTTCTGAAAATTCTTTTCTTTCCATTTTAGAAACTGGTCATAGACCATTTTATCATCTTCGACATGGAAAACCGCAGGATCTGGATTATGAATGGACAAGAAAATAAGGGTATTTCTAGAGGCTCCCAAGCACTCTCCTATACAAAGAATGACTGGTATGTACAATTAATGGTGCCTGTGAACCTCTAAACACTAATCTGTTTTCAAGTGTCTTAAATTGTTACTGTTCAAGTACCAAAAGCCATGAGTGTCTGAAACAAAAGAATTCAATCTATTTGCTGGCTCAGTTGTGTGTGTCAGAGTGCACATACTTATGTGTTGTGGGCCAACTGGAAAATCTTTAAAAAATCCTACTATGTGCCAGGTTAATGAGAAGCAGCTGAGAATTGCCTGCTCTGCTTCTGTAGTCTAACCCTTTCTTCCTCCCATACCGTCAGGAATGCCACCTAAATCGAACGCTGGCATATTATGTTACCTAAAAACCTTTCCCCACAACCTTTTAAATTTAAGATAGAACCAAACCCTTAAATCTTGCTACTTTTGCAGTATTAAGATAGCTTCCCCCCCGCGTTTTGTGGGAAAAACCCTGCCTTAAACAGGATTTAATCCCGAAGTACTAATTATTGCTTACTAATTTGTTATACAAATGCTATGTTAAAGTAACATTTCCAATAGATTCAATCATAAACTGCAAAAGCAAACACAAACCCCTATGAGTTCTGAATTTAGATAGTAACTTGGCCCCACAGTGTGTGTAAAGCTTATAGCTGATCATTGTGTATAATACCCTGTCACAACAGGCCAAGTTAATTACAGCTTTAACATTAATCCTGAATGTTCTGGCTTCTTGTTAGAATATAGTTAAGGCTCTGACTTTAAAAAATAAGATTAATATAATCAGTAGTGCCTAGAGTGCCCCATTAGAGATCAGGACCCCATTGTACCAAGCACTACATGTACACAGACTATTCCTGCCTAGAATTTATAATCTGAAGTAGACCCTCAATGCTTAGCTGCTGCCAGTATTAAGTTTGCTTAGTTTCTTGGACTTCCCTGTTAACTCTCTCAATACACTATTTTATTTATTCTTACTGAAACTGATGGTTTCTTTGGCCAAATTTCTATTAGTATTTCCCCTTCCTGAAAGTATGAAGTTCTGAAAGTATGAAGGAGAGGTAATACCTTTGCTTTCAAAGCTTCCCTATTGAGTCTGCTTTGAATTAGAATTCATTGTTAGACTCGCACATGAACAATGTGTTTCCTGTAAGTACAAACTGACTTTAGTAAAAATTCATTACTGAGTAATAAGTCTTATAGAAGTGTCAACCTTTGACGCATGTGTATGCTAAGTCTGAAAATTTTTTGCACTTTTTTATAGTGCTCCTGAAGCACAATTACAAATGCCGCCACCACCACCTGACAAGGTCCATTTGGATTTTAGCCATTTAAAGATAGGCACCTGAGGCACAGATAAGTCAGATGTCTTTCCCAAAGACAAAAGTTGGGAATAGAACAGAGTTTAACTTCAAGTCCCTCAGTCTTAACTGTGACACAGCACTGTCTCTGATCTTCACCAATGTATCAATTGAGTGCTGAGGCTAGAGCGTAAATCACCATTAATTCCTATGGAAGTGGAGAGTCCTTACAAAAACAAAAGGGGGAAACTGTGGCTAGAATGTAGATTTGCATATAAATATGAAACATCCAGAAACATGTCAAAGTTTTTAGTTCTTTGGGGACCTACCTGGGCTACTTGTTGTCCTGTGCAATTCCCCAAATACCATTCCTAGAAGTAATGCCTGTAAATGATGCAATTTCACTTTGGGTTCTGAGTAACATGTCCAGTAGCAGGTTACAGCAACAGGGAGCCACAAGGGACTGGGGATGGGTTGTAGGATGCTGGCTTTCACTCCTAACGTCTCCAACAGCAGTTTTAGCCGAACTGATCTGGGCACCTGCCAAAAAAGTCATAATTATGGATATACTGTGAAGAGGTCTGGCTTTATATTGCTGTAAGGAAGTCCATTTACACTTGCCATCTTCACCCAAAGGCAAATGACTTCTGTGTTAATGCTAAGATAGCATTGTTAATTTTTTCAAAAATGTCCAACCTCGTAAATATTGAGCTAATGAAAGTGACATGGATGAAACTTAGATCATTCTGTAGAATAAATTATTCCAAAACTATTCAATCTTTAAAAAGTAGTCACATTTCCTATGTTATCTATTCAAGGGTCAAATTTTTTGGAAGTTTTCAGTTGCAGTTAGGTGCCTAAATGGAGTTGGGAGCTGAGCACATTGAAAATCTAGCCATTATTTATGCATTCAAAACCACCTCCTTTGGCATGTCCTGGAGGGTGTCTGTCCTACATCACCTGCATTTCAGGGGTTAGCATTGCACCATAGGCTGTAAACTTGTGCTATCATCTAACTATCCGTACCATTGATCTATACTCCCAGTGGAATCTTCTACCTGGATTTTGACAGAGAACTGCAGTTATCACTTATATGCATTGAGAGCTCATACAATACAAGTGAAAATCTGGCTTCATAAATTGTGACTAGTAAATGAGACTTGACTCATTTAAAAAAATCCTAAGCCATTACAGTAACACTGGTACAAATTGTGTTGGTATATACAAAAAAAATTCATTAAAAAAATTGCAGTTGCAGTATTATAGGAGCCTGGGCAACCTTAGTTCAGCTGCTTTGTGTACATGCATTATAGTCTTGCCCATTATTAGGGCCCTACCAATTCCATGGCAGTCAAAAACATTTCAGACTGTGACGTTTAAGCCCTTCCCTGTGAAATCTGATCTCTCCCCCGCTGCTGGGAGTGCCCCAGCCAGGGGGCTCCTAGCTGCGAGTCCGGGCTGGGCTAGGAAGGGAGAGGACTTGTCCTTCCACTGCATGGCTGCTCTCGGGGAGATCAGACCTACCTCTGAGTACCTTCCCCTGCTGCAGGAAGCTCCAGCTCAGGAGGTTCCTGCAGCTGAAGGAGACTTGTGGAGGTGGGTCCAATATGGCCCTGCTCCTGGAAATGCCCCAGCCAGGGTGCTCCTACCTGCAAGTCCCTGCTGGGCTGAGGAGCGACAGCACTTCTCCTTCCCTTACATGGCAGCTCTGGAGGTGCAGGTGAGATCAGATCCACTTCTGGGTAGGGACCCCCATGGTTACAACACTCAAATTTCAGATGTACAGAGCTGAAAATGTGAAACTGACCAATTTAAGAAGCCTCTGGCTGTGACCTCAAGCAAAATGGACCATGAATTTGGTAGGGCCCTACCCGTTATCAGACGAGAAGTCTGCAGTAGAGCAGAAACAGAACCCAGCTCTATTGGGCCCCAATCCCATGCTAAAAATGCAAGAACATCTTTTCTCTTCTGTAATCCTTTGCTTCATTTATGGGCCACCCCATGCATTGAACAAGGCAGAGTGGGTCCTAGAGCACAAGAGTATGTAATAATTTAAAGACTAGCACAGTGCCTACACAGGGAGACAAATTAAAGTTGCATGGACGCTTCCTAACTTGTGCTTGACTCTGCAACCTTAATGTTCATTTGAAGATTTTTGTATGCAGTTTCCTTAATTTAAAAAAGAAAAATGAAAACAAACATATGGGTCAGCAGCAGGGTTTGAATGCAGGTCCTCGAGATCCATAGCACCAGTTGGGCTAAAGGAGTAAAATGGTAGCGGTCACATCCGTGTGTCGTCCCCCCCAGAGCCATATAAACTTTGACAATTTAGTTTAATGGTTACATACAGCACTGCCAAATACAGATCTGGAGCATTCATTCTGAAAGGTTGAGTGGGCAGTGGATGAGAGTTGAGGCAACCAGATTCTATTCCTAGCTCTCCCCAAAGTGACCTTGTGCAACCTCACAATTATGTACCCTTTGAAAGGGGATGAGAGAGATTTTTCCTTCCTCTAAGGATAGGGGTTACAAGGCCTTGATCAATAGTGACTGAACCATACAAGATTGCCACCCCTAGTCAATAGAAGAACTGAGACTAGAACTGTTTCCTTCTAGTTCCCAACCCAGCACACCACCTCTACCCCAAAATGTTTTCTTCAGCTGCTGCTTTGTCCATTTACTATCTGGAGCCATGTAGGGAGGTCTATGGAACTGGCAAGTATATGAACTGCAGATGGCACACAAAACTGGGGGGCTGAAGCTTGCTCAGTGCAGATTAATTAGAGACTTTAGCAGAAAGCCTCTAACACATACTCAGTATAGCTTGTGACTTTTTTTCCTGAAGTGTATAGCTTTATCAAACCTGGATTGATTTTCATGACAAAAAAAAGCACCTATTTAAATCAAGGATTACTCCTCATGCAGATTTAAAAAAAAAAATCTGCTCTGAAAGCTCTCTTAAATGGTTAGTTTGGGAAAATTGAATGCAAATGAAACAAGGTTATAATGGGAAGTTTTAGGCCTCTACAACCTCTGCCTATAACTTGTCGAGTGTTCCTTTCTAAAAAGATTATGTAATTGTAACATCTCTGAATGCTGGAAACCAAAGGCTATGACCCTACCGTTAGTACTGCATGTACTGCTTATTACCATGAGCAGTCTTATAAAGTACTTACAAGTGACTTCTATCTGGTACTAAACTGACTGACTGGATTGACACCCAAGTTCCCCCCCCCCCATTACACTCACAACATTGATTTGTTATCCAGGATATCTGTTCTGACAACCCTACCTCAGTTAATGTGGCCAAACAGCAATGGTCTTCACAAAAATCCAGAGGCAGCAATGTTGTTGGAACAAAGGATTTTTTTAAGCGTCTTTTGGATTCTGTCAAATTCACGGACAATTGGGAGCTTGCTGGACTGCTTACTTGGGGAAATAACTTCAGAATTTTGAGAGGCATTCAGAAGTAGCCCATAGATGACTTGACGAATGGGTAGGGCGACTGTGTGAGCACTAGGCCTCTGCATGTTCTCCACCTGGACATGAAGGATTGTTCTTCTTAATAGAAGGGCATCACTAATGAATGGAGACAAATGACCTTTTGCCAAAGCCTCAAGCATCCATTGTGGTAACTCTAATTTCCTGATCACCTGAGACTCATAGGTTCCATTCTGAAAAAAATCCTCAAGCTTCACATCAGACTGTTCATATTCCTCCATGGAAGAGCACAGAATCTCCCTTATTTCTTCTCTCTCATGCTTTTTAAGATATTTCAGTACATTGTCTATGGCCTCTGTGGGATCAGCAAAATGGGATAACCAGTTTAGAAGTCCCTGAATGCGGACATGCTTCCTCCCCCTCCCGCCAGAGCCTCCAACTGGCAGGCGCACCTTGCTGAAGAATGTCTCCAGAGCTGGCAAATTAATGTAATCATTACCATTCATCACAGCAAAGAGAGGAAGAAGGGCTTTGTTCATATGACTGAAGTGGCTGCACAGTCTCTCTGAAGAGAAGCATCGAGCTGGAATGTAGCAGTCTAGTGTGCCTTCACAGGTACAAAGGTTTCTCCACTGAAAGTAATTCAGAGGGCAATACCCAGCTTTCAAATCAAAAATACAAAAGTCACTGTCTAAAGTTAAAACTGGACAATTCCAATGATTAGCCAATGACATAATATCCCTATCTGCTTCTGAGAAGCACTGGACAAAAGGTACTTCCAATTTGGTCAAGACTTGCTTGAAAACCTCTCTTGTGAGCAGGGGTAGCACGCTTCCACCACCACCTCTAGAGATGGAATATGCTACCTGGATCTTATCCCTGGCTCTTTCCTTTAATGTCACAAACTTCTTATCGGACAAGTCACACCCTCCATCTAACACAACATATGGGTATATTTTGCATACAGACAAAGTTTCAAAAAACTTGTGCACAATATCTGTAAAAGAATCATAATCCCCTCCATGTTGGAGGTCTAGATTTGATTCAAAATAAAGCCGATGAAACAAATTATTTCCATCAATGATGATTTTTGTGTTCCTTAATTGTAGATCAGTGAAGAACTGCTTATGCTCTCCCACGTAGCTCATTAATCCATGGATGCCCATACTCTTAACGTGTTAACAGCTGTAGTCAAACAAATGAACAATTTAATTTTCAAGTACCGCATACAAAACTGATGATCAGATTAATTAGACACTAGTGCTGTCCACTTACCTCAGCTCCTGCTACCTTTGAGTCCAAAAGTGACAGTTACAAGATTTTTTCCCCAGGTCAAAAGGAACCAACAGACACTGTTTACATATAGCTTTTTCCCCTGACAGGCAAAACTGTTTTGAACTACAGCTGCTAGAATTGCACTACCCTACCCCCATGTGACTTGGAGCTAACCTATGCAAACTGACTTTTCTAGTGCTATCCATGGGCACTGAAAACTACACCTCTGAAAAGGGACATGCGGCCACTTCTGTCCGCCAGCCTTTCCATGCCGTCGTACTCAGTGATCCCCACCGAAGCAGTAGCTCAGTGTAAATGGCTGAGTTGGTCCATAAGTTACAGAACAGGTTTTGGTGATTTGTTAAGCCGCACTCACCCTCTGTAACATACTGAAATAGACACGCAAAATGAAGGGACCTCCCCGCCATTACGTGACCTGCGGCCAGCTCAGGCCGGGGGGTGGTGGGGGGGGAGAGAATCCCGGCTATAACGTTTTACCCAGAGAAACCTCACCCAGCCGGGGCCTTTCACCACTCAGGAGCTGGGCCTTGCTCGGGCTTACGACACGGCATGGCTCCGCCCCGGGGAGAGGGGGGGGTGCAGCTAGACGGGGCAGACATGAGCGGTGCCTCCCCCCGGACCGCGAGCGAAGCCAGCGGGGCTCGTGGCGCCGTCCGTTATATCGCACTCGGGCGCGCGCTTCAGGCAACGCCTCGCGCCTCCTTCCGTCCTCCAGGGGAACGCCAAGCGCTGCCGGAGGGCTCAGCCCCTCTGTGCGCGCCGTATAAGGGACCCGTAACTGCCCTAGCTCGGGCGACTCAGTTCCGCTCCTGCAGACACGACCCGTGCCTCAGCAAACAGCCTCCCTTCCTCCACTTCCGGGGGGGGGGCGGGACACATCAAGATAGGAGGACCCAGGATTACGCCTGGTGAAGCCACGCCCACTCCAGCGCCTCACTGTTGCGTCGCTCATCGGCGGGTAATATTAGCGTCCGTTTCCATGCGAGGAGGGTAGAGCGGGCGCAGACGGGTCACGTGACTACCCCTCTCGGGTTCTCTCTGGGAGCTGGTTGGGTCCGGCCTGGGTGTCTGTATCCCGTCGGGCAGCGCGGCGTCTCCAGGAGACCAGTACCAAACAGAGGCCGGGCGGGAGGGGAGCTAGCTGGCGGGTGGAGCGGGGCCGTGCACAGAGAACCCGGCTGGGACGCAGGGGTGGGACCCGCGCCGCCTCCTCTTCTATGCCGGGGGCGGGGATGAGAAGGTAAATGGACGTGACCCCCTCCTATGTCCAGCACAGCTCCTCTCGTCGCCCCACGCTCACGCCCCCAGAGCCGCAGGCGCCGGAGTCACTTGGGCGGAGAGCACCTACCTGACAATGCCCTGCCCCATCCCGTCAGCGAGCTCTGGGTACTGGGGGCAGGCCTTGCGACAGCGGGTGCGAGCATGAGATTGGCCACACGGGGTCCGACCAATGGACCTTCCAGCCCAGTATCCCGTTCTCTGACAGTGGCCAGTGCCAGGTGCCCCAGAGGGAATGACCGGAGCAGGTAGTCATTGAGTGAGCCATCCCCTTTCGCCCACTCCCAGCATCTAGCCGTCAGAGGCTTAGGGATGCCCAGAGCATGGGGTTGTGATCCTGATTGTCTTGGCTGATAGCCACTGGTGGACCTATCCTCCATGAACTTATTTAATTATTTTTTGAACCCAGTTATAGTTTTCATAGCACCCCCTGGCAACGAGTTCCACAGGTTGACTGTGCATTTGCAGTACTGCCTTTTGTTTGTTTTAAATAGGCTATTAATAGGCTGCCAGTCAAATTCATTAGCAGACCCCTGGTTCTTGTGTTTTGTGAAGGGATGAATAACACTTCCCCATTCACTTTCTCTACACCATTCATGATTTTATAGAGTTCCATCATATCCTGCTCGTCTCCCCTCCTGTCATCTTTTTTCCAAGCTGAACAGTCCCAGTCTTTTTAATCTCTCCTCATAGGGAAGATGTTCATACCCTTAATCATTTAAAGACTCTGTTCTAAGTAGGCTTGGAAGGATTAAATGTGTCTTTGGTAAATATAGGTAAATGTCAATTTCACCGTTCACACACAAACTCATGAAAAAATAGTTCCGTCAATAAGAATAGAAATTTACAGATAGGCAAAGTGAGAAAAATGCTGCTTGAGAACATATTAGAGTTTAATTTAAAGCTATTTACTTTATATGTTTTGACATGTGATGTTGAGAATTTGTGTTTTAATGTAAAGCTTTAACATTTTGAATCTCAATGTCTACTATCGTTAAATAATTATTGGCTGACCAGTCCATAATTTCCCACAATTGTGAAAATTTAAATAGATAAAACTCAAAAAAATTGCTTAAAACCTATACTTTTGCACAACTGTGAAAACTGAAATTGATAACAATAGAAAAAATGCTTTAAAATAAACATTAGATAATATCCATCAAAATTGTAAAACAATAAACATTGAGTCCCACCAAACCTAATTATATGGGAATTAAATCCTATTACTAGGCGTTACTGCTTCCTGGGCCTTGCAAAATTGTCATGAACACATGGCCTAGCCACCAAATCTAGTTGCTTGCTTGGCTATATAAACAAGAAGTACAGTAAAATCTGCCCTAAGGCACAGCTACACTAGAGATTACAGTAACGCAGCTGCACCGCTGTAAACTCTCTAATGTAGCCGCTCTAAGCCAACGGGAGACAGGCTCCAGTTGGCTTAACTACTTCGGCCCCAAAGAGTAGCAGTAGCTATATCTGCAGGAGAAGCTCTTCTGCTGACATAGCGATGTCCACACAGGCGCTTACGTTGGTGTAACTTATGTCGCTCAGGAGGGTGACTTATTCACCACCTTGAACAACATAAATTATGCCAACCTAAGCTGTAGTGTAGACACAGCCTTAGAGACCACCTCTGAAGAGAGACTAGCTGTCACAAGTGAATACTTGCAGAGGCCACAGAACACTATGGCTTTTTGCTGTGCAAACCTTTGAAGAGAGACTGCCTCTTACAAGAGACCACTTTTGCTAACTCCCATGAGTGGTCGCTCTTGGCAGGTTATACTGTACTCCGTCTAAGTGTGGGGACACCCTATAAGGAAGGGCACTCTAGAAACAGATCTAAATCCTGGCAGGTTCATTTCTCTGTCTTTTTTCTGGAGTAGATAAACTGCGTTCTAGGAAACTCAGTGGGCAGATTGGCATGGATGAAACTGATATCACCACTTCTAAGGTACTTGGTGCTTGCCGTTGAAGTCTCCGACCAAAACACTGACCACTAATCATCCTGCTTAGCTTTTCCAGTCCCCCTCAGAGGTCCAAGGAAACCCGAGCCACTTCCATGTTTTGAGGCCCCTAGCCATAATAAAAATAAAAAATGACAACACATGAAAACAAAATAAGGCACCAAAAAAAAGAGTGAGACATAATATGAATATTTTTTAATTTAATAAATGCTTTTCTACCCTTTTTATGGGCCAATGCTCTAATTATTGAGGAAAAATCAAGCTTTTCTGCAGTGTCACAACTGATATTAAGCATGGCAAGCCCATTCAAACGCTCTTGTCCCATAGTTGAACGGTGATAGTTGTTTATCTGCTTCACTTGAAGGTGCCTTCACATGAAGCCACTGATGCAGGCAAACTGACAAAAATACACAATTATGATATTAGGAAACACCCCAGAGAGTTCAAGTTTGAGTATTTCTTGTAGCAATTCCTTTGCCTTGCAATCCAATTTAAACTTTGTGGAATATATTTATTTGAGGAAGATGACCTTGTCACTGAGATCTTTTGATATTTCTTTGTTGTACTGTTGCTGAAATTGTTCAGCTGCAGAAAGTATATCTTCATTACTCAGTCTGTTGAACTGCCAAAGAAACCCAGAAAGGGTACACATTAGTCACAGTGACTCAAATTGATGTGTAAGACCTGATTGAATAGAGTCAATGATGACAAGGAAGACATTGACCCTATAATGCTGCTCGGCATTGGATTCAGTAGGTAAATTGCAATTGGTGGAGATCTCAGATGAAATGCCAATATTCTGTGCTACTAATTTGGACTCAGTCAGGATCACATCCCATTGTTCATGAATCTGTTGAATGTCATTGATAAGACTTTCAATGTTATCCCTCTTAACATCAAGGGTAGCATTGTGTGCTTCAATTACCAGATTAATTTGGTGGATCATTGTAAGTAGCTTCATCCACAAAGATAGGTTTCAGAGTAACAGCCGTGTTAGTCTGTATTCGCAAAAAGAAAAGGAGTACTTGTGGCACCTTAGAGACTAACCAATTTATTTGAGCGTAAGCTTTCGTGAGCTACAGCTCACTTCATCTGTAGCTCACGAAAGCTTATGCTCAAATAAATTGGTTAGTCTTTAAGGTGCCACAAGTACTCCTTTTCTATCCACAAAGATGACATCAGAATGCATTCAAATTTGGACACATGCTTCTGAATAGACTGAAGTTCAGTTTGAGCCTGGGCAGTGATATTGAGAGATTCAAGCTCATTTAAAGCCTTTCTCACTGAGTTCAGATGCTGTGCAACTGGTTGAACACCATCAATCTGTGCAGACCGTCTAGTTTTGGACATCCCATGCAGTGAAACGGGAAGAAATTGCTTCAGAATTTCCCACCTTTGTGGAGTGCTACTGAAGAGATTGTACATTTGCTGAACAGTTCCAAAGTATGTAATTGCCTTCTTGCATGATTCAGTACAGTCAACACCTGCAATGTTTAGTGTGTGGTTTCCACAGCTGGGGAAAATACAGTTTGAATTATGCTCAAGCAGAACTGCTTGTACACCTTTGTACTTCCCAGCCATGTTAGATCTATTGTGATAGGCTTGACAAATGCAGACTTGAAAATCTAACTTAAAACCTTCTAGCATTGCTAGTACTCGAGCAGCAATTTCTTTTCCAGTTTTTCTCTTGAAATTATCAGACAAATAAACCTTTCTTCAATTGAAATTTTTGACCTGTCTACAATCTTAACATATCGAATAACCATAGTAGTCTGTTCCTTGTGAGAACAATCTGGAGTGGCATCAACAATGACTGAAAAATACTTGGCCTTTTGAATATCATCAAGAATTGTTGTTTGTATGAATGATCCACATGGCTCAATAATCTCGTTTTGTATGCGTGTGGAGAGATAATGGACTTGCATGCACTTTTGACTCTCTTGCAATTCTTGAGCACGTTTAACATGCTCTGATAAAAGTGGGTCATATTTCTGAGGAGTTCAACTATGCCTAGAAAGTTTCCATTTTGCATGGATCACCAATACGTTGACTGGAACCAAAGAAAGCCAATCCCTGCTCAGAAAGAAAAAGGATGACATTCAGGATGCACTCAAGAAGCTTTTTCCAGTTAGTTTCTGTAGAGAATTCAGTCAAGAGTAAATTCTCAACTGAACTTTCAGCTGATGCTGCTCTACTGGGTGATTTCCAGGCAACATAGTTTCTTCGTCGAATGATTGCTCATAT